TCCAGCCTTTTACCGCTTGGCGCAGCACTGGTCACTACTTTCCCTCACAAGCAGCGCCTCTCGTGGTCTCTGGTGAAATTACATTTATAAATTGTAAAAATGCTAAAATGTGTTCCAAGTATAATATTCCAATGACGTAAAAAACATGGGATTTCAATATTAATATATATTTAAAGAAAATATCTTATTTAAAATTTAATAAATGTTTTCAAAAAAAGTATGTGTTTCAAAAATATATTTAAACGCATATAACAATATTTATATACGTTTATAAATCTATATATAGGTAGATTGGATGTTTTCTAGGATCGTTTTAACAAATGTTCATTAGGCAAACTTTTACTCGGGTAAAAATCGGGCGAAGCCGGGTACATTCGCTAAATACAGTTATTTACAAATGTTCGTTTGTGGCAAGATACTATTCCTTCAACTTCAAATTACTGAGTGGACCAATTAATATTGATTTTATTCAACTTACCGAGTATTTTTCAAGGGACCGGGAAAAAATTTCAAATTATCGAGAGTATAAACAAATATAGATTCAGTAGGGATTGGATGTTCGACAATTGTTTCGCCTTCTACAAGCTTTGGTCAAGCTTTTTAAGGCATCACTCATGTTTAGGTGTCTCCAAGCGCCCGCCCCGGGGGAGGGCCAAGGAGAAGGCTGGAGAGGCGACGGCGAGGCCGTGGGCACCCCGGGGGAGAAGAGGGCGAGTGCGCGCCGTTTTGAGGGAACCAAGGCAGCACCAAGCACACCTTGGCAACCATCAAGGCACCCAAGGTTTCAAAAATAGGGGATCATCAGAGATCAAAGGTCTGGCTTTTACCTTTCGACCTCCCGAAGGAAGTAGGGATTGGATGTTTGCTAGAATCGTTTTAACAAATGTTCTTTAGCAAACCCGGGTAAAAACCAGGCGAAGCCGGGAACATTCACTAGTATATATATATAATTAAAAACAAAAAAGCCATATCCTGACCGCGCTTACATGAGCACTTCTAGATGGCACAGTTGATTGGCCAAATATCAAGGAACAAGTTAAATAAACGTTTAGTTTAATTTTATTCCAACAGATGGCGCTCTGCCATCTAGAAATGCTCATGTGAGCGCGGTCAGGATATGTCTTTTTTTGTTTTTAACATCAACACCTGACCTTTTATATATTTTTCATGTTTTATTTTTTTTCATATATATATCTTGGTTTTTCTGTGAAGCCACTGGGACCAGAAATCTTTTTGGTCGCAGTGGTTACAGCCTACTCCACGCTGACGAGCGCCAATAGCGCGAAACGCGTTCGTGGATGGCTTTTCTTGATTTATCAAGAAATTGGGTTGGCCAAATATCACGGCGCAAGTTAAATAAACGTTTAGTTTATTTTTGCTCCGCTAGATGGCGCTCTGCCATCTAAAAAGCACATGTGCTCCTGGTCAGGAAATGCCTTCTTTATTTTTTATATATATTTATATATAATTATATATTTAAGTAAATCTCTATATTTATTCAATTGACCTATATATGCGAGCAATAGTTCCATCTATATGGTGCTAAATATATTCACTATTTGATTAGTTTTTCTCATTATTTTCTTCTAACTTTTATAATTTTATCAAGTTTTAACGCGCGCTGATGATATCCGTGTGTAAGAAGCTATTTATTTTTGATAAAATTAAATTTTTCGTTAGTGTTCGACTGTGGGCTAATGATGTAGTGGATAATAAGTTGGACAATTAAATTTTAATTGAGTTCAACGAATAAGGAAAAACAAAGATATTTTCAGATTAAATTATTCATATTCTGAAAATATATAACGCGATAATTTGCAAGAGCCTTTTCTCAAGAAAATTCACGAGGTAAACGGTTGAGAGTTGTTTGGTTGTGTTATGATAGAGTACAGCAGCAAGTAGGTAAATTCGGCCTCTATAATCCGTTCTATTCAATTATCTTAAAATGATCACCTAAAAGGATTTAAAGTAAAGGTGATGGATGTTGTTGCCCCATAGAAATAATTTGGAATCAATCGCTATGCCCCCTGTAATCAGAGTGATACAACATGTCAGTGCGTGCTCGAGATTGAAATGAATTGATACAAGAGCGTGGCTGCGCTAATAATAATGGTGGAAAAGCCGGGAAATAAAGAAATTAATGAGAGCGATGTAATTGATAAGACAAAGTAATACATCTGTCGAGGATAGCGGCAATTTCTGGGGCCACGGCTATAATTAGGCTCAGGGTCAAAACATGCCATTACGGGGAAATCGGACCACGGAGACACAGGCGAGGACAGCGAGAGTTTTGAATATTTCCTCCAGACTATTAGCCGGGGACCATTACTGGGACCGCGATGATCCATCAGAGCTAATGATGCTTGCCAATGGATGATTGACCCCAGGCTTCATTAGGCCGCTAGGGCCGGAAGATGATGAACCGTGCGTTTGATGGAAGGTTTCCGGCCCTGGACACTGCGGGATGGATGACAAGACCCATCGACCTCTGTTCTTTTAAATTGAGCTTCAAGTAAAACCGCGGTAGTAGGCCTGGACTTCAACGTGTACCTTTCTTCGAACCTTCCAAGCAAAGAATATTTCTGTCGTTCCTTTTTCTTTAAATGCAAATCTCCCCTATATTTGTAAATATGCAGATATGTATATAAACAATTCATCGTACGTTTACAATTTTTCTCTTGTGGAAGGGCAGTAATGCTTGAAAGCTCTCGGCAAAACAAAAAAAAATATATTAAAAGAAACCTTTCGACTTATAAATTCGCGCTTTTTATGAATTTTCTCCAGAAAATTATATAACCCAAAAAAAAAAAGAATATAAAGCTCAATTTGACTCAAAATAGACAAATGTAAACATCTTTTTTTTTCTGCAAAAAAAAAAAAAGAATCTAATTCAAAATAGATTAATTTATTGAATTCGAAAGATGTTTTTTTCATGGTATGTGTGACTTTATGTTAAAAATCATAACAATTTTACATAATGCTAATTCATGTTTATTATACCATTATACATTTTATATATACTTCTCTTCATATATATAATCATAGATTGAAATTGTAGATAATGTGCGTATAGAGAGATGAAAACGTATGATTTTCAGTTAAATGACAAATTACATGGAAGTCTCCAAAATGACGTCAAATCAATTAAACTAACTGATAAATTGTTACAGTAACGTACACACATGAAATTTATTGATATTTATAAATTCTACCTTTCTACCAGGAATAAATTTATTGGTAGGCTTTTTTATATCGAAGAAACAGAGTTTTGTTCACACATGCACACACAATTTCCCAGCATTCAGAGGTACATGTTTAAGAGATTTTGCTTCTGTCATCTTTATTTTTACGTCTAATCAGGTGAACAGCAAATATCCGTGTTTCAAACAACAAAAGCCTTTATTTGGGCACACGTGCCATACAGGATTCTCCCTGTAGGACAAAATAAATAAATAACAAATTAGCATCGTAGTTATATACAAATATTGGGTATTGACCTCGACCAATTATCGAGTTGGATCCGGTGTCTGTGCTAAATATTTTGATTGAGCTGATTTCCAGTATTTATAAAAAGCGAATGCAAAGGGTCTGGATTTTACGACTTTTGCCATTAAAACATAAGGCGAATTGCTATTATAGCCGGTCTCTTGACGAAGAATTTCTCTCTCTTCTTCCATTGCCGTACAGTAGAACATGTAGTGTGGAAAATCGAGACTAAATTCACCGTTGCATAAGGTGCATTTTATGGTCTTGATATCCGTGTTTCACAAATAGATGATGCCAATGACACATGTAGTCAACATTCATGTCTAACATTGAGTTGATGTGACATTCTGCACATCTGTCAACAATAACCAGTCATAATACCAACACACACTGATACTAACAAAAACAAGAGCATTTGCAGCTAAAGCGTTTGCTTGAGGTAAACGTGCATTATGGAAATTTATTTAAACGCTCAAGAAGTGGCCATTTCAAAGGTAAGGACAAGGAGCGATCTTAAAAACCAAAAGCAATTGAGTACGTCGATCTACAAGGATTATTGCATGAAGATGATAGGCAAACACAAGATCAGCTAAAAGAGTTTCATGCATTGATTTTTTTTTTTTTTTGTGATGAGAAATTGGAATATTTTGAAATTCCCAATCGCCAGATATCTTGGCTTTCACCTTGCAGAACATCATCATCGACGGTCGAGAAGACAATCTCTTGTGTTTTTGTAGGAATCAGAAAGATATCGTGAACGAATGATCTCATGAACTGAGCAAAACCTTCAATGGATATCACGCCGACAACAACTGATATATTTGAACAATGCATTACTTGGAAAACACGAGCGAGTCATACTTCATTATGACAATGTTCCATGTTATTGCATTTTTCATCGTCCAGGGCATCATAAAAACATAGATCATGGAATATGCTACCGAACCCACCGAATTCACCTGAGATGGTCCCTACATATCACTTGTTTCAGTTAATAGAACATGGCTGGGCTGGAGTACACTTGGCCAATTGCAAAGAAGTACAAAAATTAGTTTTATCTCCGAGATATTCATGTATCACCAGAAAGCTGGGAAATTGTGTGGCTAGTGAGAGACCATACTTCGTAAAAATCTCTTTTTTTTCTTCGAAATTTTCTAAAATTGACTTTGATTTTTAAAATACAGAAACTTATTCGTTGTGCTTGTTACATCATGGTTTGCCTTTTATTTTAAAGTTATTTTTATTATCGAAAGATAAATGTAAAGATCCAATTTTAATATTAATGTAGTACAAGATGTGACCAAAGGTAAAAGCGACGAGTTTCTTTTAACGCTATTTTCCTTTTAAAAATATAATTAACACTAGCCGAATGACCCGGGCAACGCCCGGGTTTTACCCGATTAAATGCTTTTATTCAAATACTATTCGTTAAAATTATAAATTGGCGCCGTGGATGTCATTCTTGTATAATATATAAATGAGTTTTAAAAATTGTAAAAAAAAAAAAAAAAAAATGCATCGGCCGGGAATCGAACCCTAATCGAACCGCATGGCAGGCGAGCATTCTACCACTGAACCACCGATGGTTATGAGAAATGGCCATATTTGGGTATTTATTCCATTCACAAAGCAAACGGTGACAGAATTAAGAATTGTTGCTTGATTATGACGCTGAAAACTGTATATATTAATTATATTTATAGTATTTATCATGCGATGATTGAAAATTGAAAGAGGGAGAGCATGGCTCTGGTAACCTCCCAGCGGTTTCAGTCCAATACAATATTGAAGCGGTCTGTAAATTAAAATAGCAAAACCGCTGGGAGGGTCCATCACTGATGAGCCATACCCTCCCTCTAATTTTTAATCATCACAGGATGAATCCTGTAGAAATAATTTTAATTAAATATATATATATATTTTAAATAGCAATAAAATAAAATATGTTTAGTCTTTTGATGGTATCGTAGGATATTCTCCCGAAATTGTCCAAGAATCCTTTTTTTCAGATTTATTCTTTATTTCCTTCCTACCATACATCCTCCATTCAATGCCTTTATATTCTCAGAGTATCGGACAAAGTGTCCAAACATGCCGGGTTTTCTCTTAATTGTCTCAAATAGTCCAAACCTTCCATTTGGTCATTTTACGACATCTTCAGTACTTTGATAGTCTATGGTATTATCATCATTCGGCGCCAGCTCCATATCTGGAAATACAATAGCTTTACACTTTCTGCCTTTCTAAGATTGAAGGATTCAGAGAATATATACATACGGTCGGCTATTCCTGGCGCACACGTGTCTTCCAACGGCTCCGCCAAATTGTCAGCATGCTGAATCTCTCTTTCGCCCCGCGCGTGCATCGTAGTAAAAATATTCTAGAATCATAATATAAAGTTTTTTACTCCTATATTATTCTGCGCAATATACGTACTATTTTATTAGATTTTAACGCTAATAAGTCAGAAACGCTACTGTTTTTAAAACAAAAAGTTCCTCTATGCACTATGCTATGTTCAATATAGCATTAGAGACGGTACAACTATGCAAATTGATATCGATGGATTTACATACACATTTGTTGTGGCAATTTCAGAAAACCCACCTAAAAAATGAAAATTCAGGATATAGCTTTCGTCAGTATAGTATGGTTTCGAGGTCCTTTATTGGAATTTGTGAAATCCGTGAATTCGACAAAGAGATATTTTGATGGAAATAGATATGACTGGGTCGAATTATGGCGAGTACGGTGGCTAGATATATATAGATATATATTGTGTTTAATAAATTTCTAAATAACTATTTACCAATTTCTTAATATACAGGGTGATCCAAAAGTCCCGCACTATTTTAAAAATTAATAACTCCGCGAATATTTGCGCTAGAGCAATGCGGTAAACACCATTGTATTCAGGATGCAATGGGATTTTTTATGGCAAATAATGAAAAATTCGAAATTGATTTTAGTTAATATTTTATTCGCTAGATGGCGCTCTACCAGAATCAGAGATTCAGCGGCCAGATTGTTTGATAAATTGAAAAATATAACTGATCGACACGTATTTTCCCTTTTTGAATACCAGGAAAGAACCCTAATAATATATAATAAAAAAATAATAAAATACCACTTCGCCAAAAGTATGAAGAATTGGTTAACGATTTTCAAATACGATCAGAGATATGTAAAATAGGTAAATGCAAATTAAAACATGTAGCAAAAATATGTATATTTTATATATGATTTTGTGAAATAGATTGAATGTTTGAAAAACACTGCTGATATCAATACACGAATTTTTGAAATGTTAATATAGTACCAAAAATTATGATGGCACTATTAATAGGATTTTTTGCTATAAGAAATGTGTAGTTTCTTGACTGATTAGCGACCCTTGACTATTTAACTGGATATTTGTCATGATCCAACAAATGAAATATAGAGGGGAGTGACAAAATATATTTGTCGTACTTTATTCCAAATATCCTATGGGCTTGTCAAATGTTATCATTGTTTATTATACTGTACACAATTTTAAAAAATGTGTCCCCTCAAATAAAAAAATTTTTTAAATCGACCTTTTGCGTTGAAAAACGTGGTAGTAAAATCATTTTGTATTTTTTTTTCACAAAATTTCTGAAGTTATTGGTGTACAGAAAATATTCCTTATGCTATTTCTTTTAATGAGCGAAAAGCGAAAACTAAACATAAGGGGGAAAATTGTGTGTACCAGTGTTATTCGAGAAGTTATAACACTCTGGTTTGCACGACATAATATGTGAGCGAATGACAAACAAAATATTACTGTTCACAAAAAATAGAGTCAAGATGTGAGGACAGCATTTATTATCCCCATATCCCAACACAAAGAGCTGCAAAATATTGGTAGATAATATAATACATGGCGGCTTATCTAACACATGAGATAACTGCTTTCTCTCTTGTATTAGGTCACAATCCTTGCTCAATGTGGCACCCTTCATTCTCAATCACCGCCTGCAGACGATAAATGACAGAATGGACAGCATTAAATAACATATCTGTTGAAATTGATAAAACTTGCCATCTGATAGAAGCCTTCAACATGGCCAATGTGGTAGGCTAGCATTGATAAACACACGATTTAATGTACCCCCATAAACAAAAATTGCAAGGCGTCAAGTCTGGTGATCTTGGAGGCCACTGGTATATAAAGTGGCGACTTATCACACGATTTTCACCGAACGTATCCTTCAGCAATTGTTTGGCACCTCGGGAGATATGAGGAGGTCCTCGATCTTTCATGAATGTTATTTCGCTTAGTGCTTTTGCCCTGCACAATATGGGAATACCCTTTTCTCTCAAAAGTTGAACATAACGTTCACCAGTTACAAAAACGGTTTTAAAAGTTCTTCCATTGATTTTTCAAAGAAAAATGGCCCAATAATAAAAGAAGTGAACCCACACAAAACTAACTCTAGGCTGGTAAAGTGGCATTTCTGTAAAAATCCTAGGGTTTTCTGTTGCCCAAATGCGGCTGTTTTGAATGTTAAATTCTACGTTTAGAGAAAAGTGAGCATCATCTGTCCACAGAACATTCGACAGCCAGTTTTCATCAATATCAATTTGCCGTAAAACCCATGCAGCGAATTCTTGACGCATCTCAAAATCGCCAACTTTCAGCTCGTGAAATCTTTGAATTTTGTATAGGTACACACAATAGAGACATTAAGTGAAGCGTCTTCGGATATCACAATCATACTCGGCGAATTTAACGCCAAAAGTTCAATTTGGGGATCACCTGTCCTGGATAACAAAAGTCAGCAGGTTGAGGACATGCTAACCGACCTCGACCTTACACCGTTAAATAACGTAGATAACACCTACCAATCTAAGTCCACAGGCACAGAATCCGCAATAGACATCACAGCGATAAATTACAACATCGCACCCACAACACAATGGAAAATCCTGAGAGGTGCAATCAGTGACCACAGACCAATTTTAACAACCCTCAAAAGCTTGAAGAACTGTGCAACGAAAAATTGAATTACAGAACGCTTGACAAAAAACTTGGAAAAATTCTCTTCGAACATTTCAAAAGCTGCAAAAGCATCGATACCTAGAGGTAGACGTAAAGACCTGTGGATACCTTACTGGAAGGACCACAACATCGAGGCAATGATTTCAGAGAGAGAGACAATATCAATGAACTTCTTAAAAAAATAAAACAGAAGAAAACATAAAGGAACAAATTGAAATTAGTCACAAAATATAACAAGAAATTTGGATATGCAAACAAGAAAAATGGCAGAATTCTGCGAAAAAATGGATCCAAGAAAGGATAGCCAACACTGGAATATGATTAGAGTGTTAGAGAACAATCAAAACCAACACCAATCCTCCAATACTCTAACCGATATGAATAGAACAGCGAGAACGAGAACAAACAAATGGCTGACATAATTGCTGAATATCTTTCAAGCACTTCCATACTCAACTATACGAATGAAGACAGGACTCTAAAAATAATATACACAAGTTAGTAAAACAAGCAAGAAACTTCCATCAACAAGATATTTTCTCGAGAGACTTCACACTGAATGAGCTAAACTTATCAATAAAAAAATCCAAGAGGTCACCAAGAGATAATCTAATCTTTGGTCAAATGATTAAATACTTTGAAGACAAAGCTAATAATCAACTCCTACGAATACTGAACATTTCATGGCAAACTGGTAAACTACCAAAGAATTGGAAGATATCAATTATAGTGCCAATACTGAAGCCAAACAAAGATGCCAAGGAATACAAGAACTATCGGCCAATTGCTCTCACCAGCATACTTTGTAAAATACCAGAACGAATTATCCGCTCTAGGCTCATAGTCTGGCTCATTAACAATAATAAAATAAACCTCTACCAAACTGCCTATAGATCCCAGCACTGTACGACTGATCAACTGTTCTACTTCTGTCAATCAATAATAGATTCTTTCCAGGAAAAACCGCCAAAGAAGACCACGGCTATATTCCTTGATATGACCTCAGCTTTTGATCGAGTGTGGAGGGAGAAATTACGTGAAAAGCTGCACAACATCGGAGTAAGAGGAAACACTTTAATCTGGATTGCAGACTTCTTAAGGGGAAGAAGGTTAAAGGTTCGGGTCAATGGAGAATTTTCCAAGGAAGGAAGAACATGGGCTGGTGTAACTCAGGGATCTGTGCTCAGTCCTCTACTCTATCTGCTATATATTAACGACATCCATCCTTACCTCACTGAAGACACAAAGGTTGCCTGTTATGCAGATGATATAGCCATATGGCACACAATTAGCAGCATAGAAAAATCGTAAAAAATACTGAACACATCAATGAGAGGACTGGAGAAGTGGGCAATGGAACTCCAAATGACCATAAACCCAATAAAACCAAACCTATGCGTCTTCTCCACTCACAGGGAAAAGGCATAAATATAACCACAAAATAAGCATAAACAAACAAATATTTGATAAAATTAGAAATCCATAATACCTAGGTGTGATACTGCAGTCCTGGATCTTTCAAGTTGGTCTCGAGGACCACGCCATCACCATCTCCTAAGCGGC